ATAGGTTTTAGACCATGCCACGCACTAAAACGTCCGGAAGTTGTAATAGTATTATAGAATAAACGTTAAAAGACTTATTTATTTAATTTTTCAATGCTTAAGTGTCCATTAGAATGAAAGGGTGCTTAATGTATTAAAAAAAATAGAAAATAATTATGATGGGTTAATGTTTTTGGGCGGTTTTTTAGGCGGTTTCTGACAATGTCCTTTCAAGCGTCTAACTTAAGCAATTTAGATTTTTCATACAAAAGGATTTTCCCGCTAATTCCCGTTCCCGTGGGAATTCCAAAGTATACTATAACCTGCCCAGGAGTATGAAGAAAAATTGTACCATGTTTCGTTAAAATCCGTCGAGTAGTTTTTATTTCTATAAGGAACATACAGACAGAGACAAAAATTTTACTGATTGCATTTTTGGCATCAGTATCGATCACATCACCCCCTGATAGTTATTTTGAAAATATATTTCATGTACAGAATTGACCTCTCTACAGATTTATTATAAGTATAGATAATTAAATTATTAATTGCTTACTGTAGTTGAATCAACTCTACTAATTAATTAACAGACTAATAGACATGTTCAATAGATGGAGGTAATATTTACTAGCATTATTATAATGTGAGCCTGTAATGAAGAGGAAGGAATTTGCCTTGAAGCCATAACATGTTGGTGTTAAATAGGAAAAGATACCTACACAGATGTGTTTATTGTGATGTAGCATTGTTAGGTACAATCAACCCTATTTTCGAAAATTCTTACTTTAGTGCAAGTTAAAGATTTTGATTTTACAGAACATTGACATTTTTTTTTAATTATTCCCCCTCTCGTGAGTTGATATTTTTTTCAAGAGTAAAGTTCTCTCCTCCCCATCCGTCAGACCGCGTGGGGAATGTAGGCCAAATCCTCAATTTGCCTCTGGTAAGTTAGGCGGTTATCACACTGCGCCGCGCTCCGCCGCGGTACGCGGGACGACAGATTTAATCATTGTATGCAAGTACCTCAGTTTGTATAGAAAACACGCGCGGCACTACACACTGACAACGCGTCTGCGCGCGGGATTTTTTTATACGAAATCACGCGCTCCGCGGCGGAGCGCGGCCTTGACAACCTTGATGACCGCCTTAGAGGGGGTCGTGCTCCTGCAGTGGAAACAAAATAACCTGATGATGATCCTCTCACAAAAACAATATCGACTCAAAACTGGTATCTACGAATCATCAGGCAAACTTTCAAACCACTGTACAGGGGCTTATAGCATTCCCCGATAATAAACGGTGAAATTATTCACTAACTATTCTCACGAGCGCAAAGGTTGATTTTAATAATTCGCTACATGAAGTGTCGCCAATTTGCGTCGAAAATTATCAGATATATCGGGAATTGATCCACTTCAAACATTGACCGTGTTTGCTCACTGGACCACAGAATATGAGGTAAAATTACCAATAGTTGTTCGTCCGTGTTTTTACAAAACGAGATTTACTCAGATCTATACCATGAATGGTTTCATCACGAGATGTTTAGGGTTTTAGCGTTTATTTGATTTCATATTGTAACCCTTTTATAAAACGTTTTTATTTAGCTTGCCTTATTGTTTTTTTTTTCTATTGTTGATGAATGAATGAACTAAAATACTATAGCGTTGAAGATTACTGGAAAATGGCCTGTTAATCTACTGTATTCGATTATACTACGTCTAGCCGAGCTTTATTATTCACGTGGCGTAAAGTGATCGCCTGTCGCCGAGGATAGCTTTTTCACGCTTATATCCACTCGCGAATTTATTGCCATCGTTATAATTCAATATTGATAAGGTTTTATTTTACAAAAGAATGTGTATCGTTAAGGTAACTAGTAAACAAATAAGGTGATAGCTTTTAGGCTTATTTTGCACGATATTTATTTTTTATTGATCAAGTCCTAGATAAAAATTACTAAACTTGAAAATAATGAATTAAACATCACCATCTCCTCATTAAATCAAAAAGTTCCAAAGATGTAGTTCTCTCATTGTTCGAGCTTTCACTAGAAAGGCCAATTTTCTAAACAACCTTCACAAAGAGCCATAATGGCTGCAATAAGAAAGCTTATTTTTGTCCAGAAGCTGGAGTAAAGCATTAAACAAGTACAAGTATCTTAATTACACCTTCTAAGTAACATTGCCCCAGTCCACTGGTTCTCAAAGTGTTCTTAACTATGTTACTAAAGCAATTACTAAGACGTACCTACAAGTAAGTTCTTTGTTCTTGATTAAAATATAATTACATTCATTCATTCATTGTCAGCTTAACGTATTTAGTTTGACAATGTAAAGTAGGAATGGCAGTGTTGGGTGAGGAGTGATAATACTTCTATGTTTTTTCCCATCGATCTTTAAGAGTATAAATAATTAGTGATCTGGTTTACATTTTAGTGGCAGATTTTTTTTCATGATACTGGTATAGATGAACTACATCCCACCAAACACAATGACAGTGGGGCGCCACCATCGTTCAACTTTAAAGTTTCTAACGTGTCAAAAATCGGGACCAGCGATCCGGATCCCTCTGTCAATATCACGGGTGGGACAATTCGTTGTAGTTCATCTTTATCAGGGGTGTGCGCGGAACAGAACAAAAACATACCAATTATAATTAAGAAAAAAAATCGCTCTAAAGAACAAGTTTAAGAAAAACAAACGAGTATTAATAAACTACGTTATGACCCAAAAGGTTTGGGAAACACATTTGCGGTCCTCTCTTATTACAAGGCCCGGTGGTCGTTCGGCGTCTTCAGCACTAAGCCTTCATATCCCTGCGTCCCGGTTACTCCACAAACTGTTCCCAACACGTGTTGGTTGGATTTAAAACGCCTGTCAGTGAAACTGGGAAAGCTAAGACGGGACTCGGCTAAAAGCTTTAGGATTAGTACTTACAATTGTTAGACCTACGACTCGAGATTAGAAACGAAACAAGTTTGTAAATTGCGTATATTACCTACCATGAGTATTTTCATCCGTATTAATATTATAAATTGCGAAAGCAGCTCTGTCTATTACTTATTCAAGATTAAGCCGGCTGGATCGGTTTAACTATAGTTAGTGTAATATTGATATACCTAGTTCATAAGACTATACGAAGGACAGAAAGTCTTTATTCCGAAAATCAGGTCTTCATAGGTCAAGTGTCTCAAGATTTTGTGATTAGGAAGTGAATGAATAATAAGTGATCTTCATCTATACTAATAATAAATAGGTATTTGTGTTATATTTGAAAATCTACTCACTTCTCTTCAATAGGCGTAGTAACCGAGCAGGCCAGGATCACAGCTCGGTCCTCGGGTGCAGCCTTCAGCTCCCTGTAGAAGACATGGTGCCAGACCCTCTCCATGTTGTCCCAGTGGACTATCCTGCCGTTCACGACTGGTCGGCTCAGTTCTAGGTCTTCTATCTTTGCTACTGCTTCATCGCCTGAAAGTATTTATTTAATTCATTGAGCTATCACAGTTTCCCTGCATGATCGAATCAGAAATGAGAAGATCCGCAGGAGAACCAAAGTGACCGGCATAGCCCGCAGAATCGCTAAAATCAAATGGTAGTGGGCGCGGCACATAGCTCGCAGAGCTGTTGGCTACTGGGGCAGAAAATTTAAAATTTTGTGATTTATTTATTAAAGACGCAAAACAGATTACAATTAAGATTTCACAAATTTGAATGATCAAACGAACTTACCAAGTGAAGTTCGATCTAAATTATCCTGTTTTCGCCGAAGAGATTTATTTTACCATGTAGTACCCCTGTACGACAACCCAATCCGCACACAATATTCAGCGTAGTAGTATTAAAAAACAAAAGAGCGGGCAACCCCACCCCTACCACGCTGTGGGCTCGGTGTCCGAGCGGTCTCATTATATTTAGAGAAGAGATGACATTGACGTTTACCTCCAGGGAAGAAGATATAGAAATCTTCGGGTTGGGAGGGACCTTAAATCTCTTCGGCGAAAACAGGATAATTTAGATCGAACTTCACTTGGTAAGTTCGTTTGATCATTCAAGTACAGTCGCGGAATGAAAAGGTTCGTCACCTTAGTGTCGGTTTTCGCTTGCACTAGGTACTGTAAGAGTCAAACCTGCCAACATAACCGTGCAAGAAACATTGCTGCTAACATTTAAATAAATATGACGTTTGCTAACGAATAAGGTTTTGCTTGTTTATTTTTCTATCCCATCAGTGCAATGTTACAAAATGTAGTTTTTTTTATTTAATAGATAATGGCAGGTTGAACCAACAAGAAGGTTTTAGTTTATCAATCATAATAATCTTCTTGACAAGTTAAATCGTCAAACAACTTTGATCTGAATAATTTTGAACTTTACTGACGAACAGTTACTTAAAGATTATTTTCGTTTTAGGAATTCGTTGAAGGAATCAATTTGAAAACTGACGAATCTTTTCATTCCGTGACTGTACTTACCTGTGGGTAGTTACTAGTTACAGATGGAGGGTTCTTGTAAATATTAATGTTAGTAGTAATTACGCTTCTAGTTGGTAGTGTACACTGCTACAAAATAACTTTGCTTTTTTTGCATTAATTGTTGGTAAGACAACGAAGACCTACGAACCCAGTAGTACACGCATCTAGGAAACTTTAATAGCACAGTATTATGTAGTCGGTAGAGTCCATAATATTTTTGAACATGCTTCATTTTATTAATTTTTACGACAAAAGTTCCAACTTCCAATAATATTATCACTAAACCACGAACTTTTGCCGTGTACCTACTTAACTCTCCAAAGCGTTTAATCTGCGTCACTGCCTAGTTACTTTGGTACTTAGGCCCAGTTTCCACTAAAACTAAGCGGAGAGGTGTAGAAATAACTCTCCGCTTTGTTGGAAATCGGGCCTTACGCCACAAACTAGCCGCGTGACTACCAACTGTCTTGCTAATCTTGCTATCCAGACTTCTGGTACCACTATACTTTACGTCTGACACTGCTTGAAACCTACAGACCACATAATGTGGTCTGTGTTGAAACCATACCAGCCTTATGCCACAAACTGGCCGTGTGACTCCCAATTGGCACGTCTAAGGGCCTTGCCACACTGGCGGATTGCAAGCGGTTTCAAAGCGGAGCGGCGACGCGGCGAAGACGCCGCGGATGCACAACGTTTCCGCCACGCAGCGTCGCCGCTACGTTTTGAAAACGTTTGCAATCTGCCAGTGTGGCAGCTCTCTAACACTGCTTGATCTACCTACGTCTGACACTGCTTGGTTACGAAGAAAGGCGCCGTCTGCGAGGCGGGTGACGCCAGCGAGGAGCAGTCCAGCGAGTCGGACGCCAGCGAGCAGAGCTCGTGCAGCGCGCGCAGCGACGAGGACGCGCCGCGACGCGTCGTGCCGCATCAGCGACCGCATAGCCACCCCACGAACAAGTAAGATACTTCTTCTTCTTATGTAGGTACTTTTTCCTAATTCATTTGTGCTGACCAGTCCCCCTCTCGGGGTAAGATAAATAGTTCAAAAGTAGGTAGGGAGACCGAGATATTTTGAAACAAAAGGTGAGTTGAAAACACCGCCGAATCTTCAGAACTTAAAACCGTTACCGAGCTGGCAACGTCACAGTACCGGTCGCCAGTTCACGTTTGTGATTCAAGGCACCTTTAAGTTTACCTTGCTTTACGTGAACTTGTATTGTAGGTTGAACAACAGATTGGCCATGATGGTGTCACGTTCAGCTCATCCGGCAGAATTATTTTTTTCGATATCGTCGATACTAATTTACATTCGCACGACTATCCTTAAAACTCCTAAGACCCCATGTGTCCCCAGAAGAGTCCGCGTGGTGGGCCGCGTGTGGGTGTCGTCAATACCTACTAATTTACATTCGCACGACTGTCCCTAAAACTCCTAAGACCCCATGTGTCCCCAGAAGAGTCCGCGTGTGGGTGTCGTCAATACCTACTAATTTACATTCGCACGACTATCCTTAAAACTCCTAAGACCCCATGTGTCCCCAGAAGAGTGCGCGTGGTGGGCCGCGTGTGGGTGGCGTCGCTGTCGGCGCGCAGCAACCAGGACCAGCAGCGTCGGTTCGAGGAGCGCGCGGCGCGGCAGATGCGAGCAGCACTCGCTCGCCGCGCAGCGCTTACACCCAGCAAGGCTAAAGCACCGGCAGGTGTGTGTGGTTGTAGCTTTAACAGCAGTAGACGCCGACAGACGCTATTATCAGTCAGCAGACAGTTTTGATATCGTCAGTCGACATTTGCACTCTTGTCAGCGGAGAGGACAGTTGCGCTCTCCTTAGTTGACAGTTGCACTATCACAGATATAGATATTATATCTGTGTGCACTATCGTCAGCTGACAGGTGTACTATCATCAGCTGTCAGTTGCGCTATTGTCAGTCGTCAGTTGCACTCTTGTTAGAGGATGGTTGGCCTCTCGTCAGCTGACGGTTGCTTTATCGTCAGCCGAAAGTTGCACTATAGATGACCCACGCTGAACTGTCCCACCAAACTCAATGACAGGGGGGCGCTACCATCTTTCAACTATATGGTTTCCAACATAGCAAAAATCGGAACCAGCGATCCGGTATTGACGGTGGCGCCCCACTGTCAATGTCATGGATAGGACAGTTCAGTATTTTGGAACTATAATGTCAGCAGACAGTTGCACTATAGTCAGTCGACAGTTGCGCTATAGTCAGCTGACAGTTGTGCTAAAGTCAACTGACAGTTGCTCTATCGTCAGCTGACAGTTGCTCTATCGTCAGCTGACAGTTGCATTCTCGTCAGCGGACAGTTGCGCTCTCGTCAACGTTTGGTTGCGCTCTCTTCAACGTTTGGTTGCACTATCGTCGTCTGTGCTCACGACAATCAGCAGACAGTTTCATTTTTGTTCTCATGTTTTGATGATTATTCAGGTGGCGTATACGCGAAATTGGAGGCAGAATGGCGCGAGCGCCACGGCCAACGACCTCGCAACGCGGTATCCGCGCGGCCGCGCCAACCGGCTAACAAATACAAATGAAAACTTCACCTACCCTACAATTAGTCAAAACTTTCGCAAGTATGCTCACTTTTTACCTACCCGCAAGAATAGTAAGGCTCACAATGCAAGGTACTATTTGTACAAATGTATGCAAGTTGTTTTGTATATTATCGTTGTTTTTTTGTAAATTAAATGTAGTGTGTAATGTTCATGATTGTTTTATTTATAGCCTGACCAGGAACATAAAAACCCTGGCATAGAGGCGCTTCAATTGCATTTGATAGTGCAACACTGAGTACAGTCCTACATGTGTTAAATTAATAGGCTAAATTTATGTATCAGGATTCAGGATTACGGGCTAATTTGATATTTTCATAAATTAACGAAAAATATTATTAAAGGTAACCTGGTTTAAATAAATTAAATGAAACCATCAATCGAGCTAGTAGGATTTATTTTATTATTCATCAATAATCAAATTCAGAACTTGAATATTCAACTGCAATGTCTGCTCATGAACGCTTCAAACTCGATACTTCTTTCCCAATTCCATAAAATTCAAAACTTAGAAAGTGACAAAAAACATTAAAATAAGTAGTTGAAACAGACTACAGCTAATTTTCATAGTGGACTGTACTATACGATAAACATGTCAGTCAATTTGACAACCTTTGTCGGAAACATTATTCAATGAAAATATTGTCCGAACCCTTAGTATTTCTCTTCGACAAATACATTAACACTTCGTGAACCACTTTTCTTTCACGACTATAAAAATATTTTAGCAATTTAATTCACAAAATCAATTGCAAACATTTAAAATAAAGTTTGTTTACACTTTGACAACAATAGACTGACATGCAAGGTGACATGTCAATGACGTTTTCAGTTACTGTTGCCATTAAAAGAAATTAGTACCATTAGTTTTCCGCAACATGGCGAGGGTTTTTATGTTCCTGGTCAGGCTTTATAACCATGGAAAAACTGTTGCTGCTAATTAGCGCCACCTCGCGGGAACAATAATTGCGCTCACCAATCAGCGCCACTAGCGAGTAAGTGATCTTATTCTACGGTGGCGCCATCTGGTGCTCCATTTGGGCGCTCATCAGATGGCGCCACTGTCTTATTACTAGCGAGTGACAGGAACTTTCTCTACAGAGGCGCCAACTGGCGAAGCATTCGATAGTCCTCATCATAAAGTTATGCAGTCTGGATTATCTATCAGGCGCCAACTGTTCGCATGTTCGTTCGTTCGTTTCAGCCAAATGACGTCCACTGCTGGACAAAGGCCTCCAAAGTTTTCCACAATGCACGGTCCTGCGCTGCCCGCATCCAGGCTCTTCCCGCGACCTTTACGAGATCGTCGATCCACCTAGTAGGGGTAGTAGTAGGGGTGCGAAGAACGCATTGTATGTCCTCACAATGTAAAGCCAAATTTGGATTATCTAAAGACAAATAAAAGGCGCTTGGTAGTTTATAGGTTATTTATTGTTCTTAGCCTAGAAGCGCAGTCTGTGCGGGTACTGGCTGGAGCGCAGCCCGAAGGCGGCGCGTAGGTAGCCACGCAACACCTTCTTGTCGGCGCGCGCGCCCACCGCCTTGATCACCGCCTCGTCCACCAGCTTCTGGTCGGTCTTGCGCTGCTCTGATGGAACGTATTTCTGGAATGGATGATAGTTGATTAGTTTAGTTACAGAAAAAGGAGATCTTTTTTGACTGTCGTGAGCTTTTTTTTAGGACTCAGTTGAGATGTGGGACATCAGTGTATTGTTCTCGCAGGCGTTTTGACGTAACAAAAACATCGCAAAACTCGGTATTTTCGAAAAAATAGCAATACCTTTGCTTCTGTCTGCAACGAGTGTACACACCAATATGACATTATCGTTGGGACAGCATTGATAATAATCTTCAAAATTGATGCTGGGGCCTAACTAAACATCTATTCCTACCACTGGCTGATTATGCAGTTGTAACATAGCAGAGCCATGTAGATCAGTACTAATACGACTCCTTTAGATGCTGAAGAAAAGGTTCTCAAGAATAGTCATTCTGGCTCCAGGAACAGCATTTTTTTTTGCTGTAAGCCTTATTACTCCGCGTGTTAGTGGTTCTCCAAGTAATTTATTTCTTTAGTAGCACATCTTATTACACATTATTAGTAGGACCACTGCAAATTTTATCTAGGGTTCTATCAGGGAGGATTAAGCAGTAGGACCGCGGACAATGACAATGACATTTTACGAACTCTACTAATATTATAAATGCGAAAGTTTAGATATCTATTTTGATGGACGTTTGTTACTCATTCATGCAAAAACTACTGAACGGATTTTGATGAAACTATGTATTATTCTTTATAACCCAGAATAACATAATTATAGGCTATAATTTATAACGATCTGTGACAAACTAATTTTCACGCGGGTGAAGCTGCGGTCAAAAGTTAGTAGGTCACACAAATACTAGACTAGTTGTAATGTGACATGCAACAAACAATTCGAATTTGAACAAGCATATCAAAATAGGTAACACACCTCTTTCTTGGTGGCGAAGATGTCTTCTCCCTGCTTCCGCTTGACGCTGCGCTTGGTGCTCCGCTTGTTCTTCTTGAAGTAGGCGTCGTCGAGGTGCGCCGGCAGCCGGAAGGCGCCGAGGTCCAGCTTGGTGGACGTGCCGATGACGTAGCGCTGGGGAATGCGCCTGAGCGGGCACGAGTTGAACTAAGGAGGAGATAAAAGAGTAAAAGACCGTTTAATAACATTGAAATTAATGATTTGGCATATCGATCACTGTTAGCCACATTTGTGAGAAAGCTTAGGCGATTAACACACGCGGGACGACAGATTTAATCATTGTATACAAGTACCTTTGTTTTTATAGAAAACACACAACACACTGACAACGCGTCTGCGCGCGGGATTCTTTGTAGCCACGCGGACCGCGGCGGAGTGTGATAATCGTCTTAACGTACGGAGGAGCAGGCCCAGATCTGAGTCTCGTCCGGAGCAGCATTGTACTGCGTATTAGGTCCCTACGATATGTAACCCCGTGCTACGCAACGGAGCGCGATGCAGTGTGATAATTGTCTCGTGTCTCGTTAACGATATTTGAAACCTTTCAACCTCTTCCCGTCGCGAAAGAGCTCATTATAATATGCTCCCGTCACCCCCCAGTCTTGGCTTTACAAGCCACTGTATAGATACAATCACCATGATTAACTAAAATAAATAAAAATTCATTTATTTCCAAAAAATAACTGGTGGTGGTAGTGAAGGTTTTTTCTCGAATCTCACAGTTGTCTCCCCACTTATAGCAAATGACGAAGCATAGGTGTTTTAATGACTTAGTTCAAATAACCTACCTTGTTTTTGCAGAGTAGTCAGTCATAAATATTTATGGCATGGTACATGATGTAGGTATGTAACGTGTTCTTCTCTACGCGACGTTTAGGAGAGAGGGTTAGTTTCTCACACACCACGAAGAGTCCCATGACGAGCAGATACCCGTATGTCCAGTTTAGCAGCAGTTAGATTTCTAATTTTGTGTATATCTAGACTCTTACCGCGAAGGGCCCGGTAACGAGCAGCAGGCCACTGGGCAGGGCTCCGAGCAGCACGACGCGCTTGCCGGCGTGGCGGCCGGCCAGCAGCACGCAGACTGTCCCAGTAGGTCACTAGGGGCCACAAAGCAGGCACTCACCGCGAAGGGCCCGGTGACGAGCAGCAGGCCACTGGGCAGGGCTCCGAGCAGCACGACGCGCTTGCCGGCGTGGCGGCCGGCCAGCAGCACGCAGACTGTCCCGGGAGTCAGGTTGGGCCGGATGTGGCGCGCGTGCTTGCGGAAAGTCTTGTGGTGCGGCCTGGTGCGGATCCTGGAGATTTGAAGGGTTAAGTTATTGAGTCAGTAGTAGGAAGATCACGCACAATGGCCCGATCAAGACTAAGTGCAACTCGATTGCTCTGAAACTAACTAAAAGTCACTAGATTGTTGATGTTGAGTTATCATTCTCCAGCCTGGTGCGGATTCTGAAGAAGCAGAGTTGACGAGTTATTAATCTAGCTTTGCCTTAATACTTGATTCCCTAAGCAATCCACACCTTGTGTATTTTCCAGAATTCATCCCCTAAAATAATCCAGTTTTACATAAGATAGGGCATAGGGCACAGGCAATACTTGCAGGATATACTCATACATGTCTAGTAGAAAATAGATGTAAATGATCAAAGGATCAATATTTTCAGGCACAACTTCTTGAAATAAACCTAATATATTTAGAAGAAAAATAAAATATGCATAAAGGACCATGGCCAATGATATAAATCCAACCAGGATCATTTACATAAAATTGCTGATTGCTGAACATAAATCTTCATAGTTTTAAGTACAGCTTGACCTCTGGTTTTTCATAATCATGAGTTCCCATACCATGTGCTGTGGCTAAATAACTACCATACCATTCATAAAACAGATTGCTTGCCTATAAGAACTAGTACATATTTATTGTTTGAAAACTACCAAAGTTTACATCAATCAGCACTTGACAAATTTAGGATACCACAAGCAGGAAACTTTAATGCTACTGATTTTGTTCATTAACTATTTTGTTACTCACTTGTCCTGTGTGGGGTAGAAAGACCTCCTGCGGCCCAGGAGCACTGTGCGTGTCCCTCCGTTCTTCTCTCCGCCAATCTGCTTCACCGCAACGGTGGGCTTCTTGGGTTTCTCAGCCTTGGGGTTCTTCTTGCCGACGAACTTGTACTTGGCCTGAAATTAAACAATATTGGTGTTTATTGAAAAGTACTTGTACTTGGCCTGAAATTAAACAATATTGGTGTTTATTGAAAAGTATTGGTGATTCATTCATAAGACACATCACTAATAAAAGGTTGTGTATGTTGACTACTTAGTTTAATTAAAAAACCATTTTCACACTTTACAGTCACTTAAAATTAAGCATAGTTTGTAGTAATTGGACATGGTAAAGGTCCTTTCTAAGTCACCAATGCCACAAACAATTTATCAATAAGATTTATTCATCTGATTTGTTCTGAGATAAGATTTCTGGAATAAATTTCAGCCATAGGACATCCTCTGCTGAACATAGGCCTTCCCCAATGATTTCCTTAATGACTGGTTGGGAATATTTTTGACCAATATAAAAGCAAACAAAACTACACTTTCTAGATATAGTTTCAACAGGCATGCATTATACACTTACTTACTTACATAATATTAGAAGTATGCATCTCAGATTTGACCTTAATTTCCATTTACATTCCAAGGAATGAATGGTATAGTAAAAACTTCAGAATGTAAGGATTAATGCAAACTATTCCTAAACTATCACTTCAGTAAATTGAATGAACTTGGAATTAGTTAGTCTCCTTCCTAAAATGTCAACTCTTTAATGAAGTTGTTATCAGTGGCAGTAGTAACCACCACCTCAAAAATTTAGAGGTTGTTTATCCATGAGGTAAAACTTTCAAACAAAACAATGCAGAATCAAACTGAACTTGACCTCAATAGACACTTTATTTAGTGAATTAATCGAAGAAATAGGACGTGTATGGTAATGCATGATGACTTACCTTCTTGTGGAACATCTTCGACTTGGAGAAGCGAACTACTCCATTGCCCAGGTCATAATTCCTAGGCCTGCTCACTTTAGCCTTCTTGACTCCGCCCGCGGGCGCCGCAGCGGGCTTGGCCGCCGCCTTCGGCTGTGGTGGAGCCATAGTTTATCTGCGCAAACCAAACACAACCATCAACACGAATCACTTGCCACCTGACTTCGAGGTTAGGTTAGAATATGACAGATGCTCTTTTGGAGATTTTAGTAGAGGCCCGGTTTTATTATGCACTGGAATGATTTAACACTAGTAACTAGCCAGTGGCACGTGTACTATTTAGTTAGAAACACAGTATTCACAAGAATCACAATCACTGAACCAAACGTCAAACTTTTAAAACTTATATTTTCCGGGTGGTACATCGGAAATATAAAACGAAATATCTTTTGGGGAAAATGGAGCACCGGATCCTTACAATAATTTACACAAATCCTTTTATTTCAAGCGTATTACATTGGATTTATTTTGAATAAAAACAACATCAACTCACACTCTAACCGGGATCAAGAAAAAAGAATTTTTCATAGAGTTGACAAGTTGTCTATGGTTAAATAGTGTTGCCTTGCTGAATCTTGAGCTCAATGCTGAGCTCAATCCGTAGTTCCGTACATGTCACATCAATAATAAATCATTGATTGGTCATGGAAAAACTGCAGCAACTTTCATTATTTTGAGAATGAGATACAAAATATACGAAAAATTATTGTTTTTAGATTTTTTAAAAATATTTTATTGATAATATAGTTTTGTCTATGGTACTTGAAATTTCGTAATTGAGAACGAGATCAAAACCGTATGTCATCTGCCAGTAAACTGTCAATGTCAGTGCCAAAAAAAATCAGTGCTGAAAAATGGCTTCTCTGAGGAGCCCGTCTTCGCCGTCCGACGGTTATAAAAGGTTTAGTGACGAATTTACATCTACCAGCGTCAACAATTACGGCTCAAACGTGACAAGTAAACGAGAAGCTATGATTATTCTATGCACTGTAGCAGCCAAGTATATGTACGCTTTTGTTGTATTAACAATACATTTCGTAATTCATTTAACATTTTGTTTTAATTTATCACCTGTCTTACATTAACTCATGATCAATGCTCTTATAAATCGATATAGATGTCTTCTAATGCCTTAATTGTGCAAATGACGCATAGCGTGAGTCATAGGTAGGGATTTGCTAACCTACCCATAATAATAAACAAAACAGTTATGCTGAACGACCCCGATTTTCTCCGCGGCTCAACACCGTAATGTTAAAGGCTTTTGTAGTGAACTCTTACCTTTGCATGAGCTAGATCGGCATGCTTACGATAGTTGCACACTAATAGTAATTTAAGGCATTATTAATTGCTGTAAATGAAGCTTCAATTTGACTATTCCAAACTGTACTTTATACCAGTGTTGAAACAATTGCCGTGACCATTATTGCGATTTAAATGTAGTGCAATTGTTTAGAAACCGCTTTTGATGTTATTTTTCCTCTTTTCCAGTGTATGAGTACCTAATTTATTTTCTTTCAATATCAGTGATTACAATGGGTGTAGAATGTTCCATGTTCATGACTTAATTACTTAGCTTTCCTGTGTTTTATGGTAGTAAATATATGTCATAGGACACCAAGAGCTTTAATAAAAAGGATTTTAATTTTTTGCTTTCAAAAAAATGAAGAGCCTTTAAAATAATAAATAAAATAGCTTCTCTGTGACCAAGTCATAACAACTTTTAACTTCAAGAATCTTTAATAATCTTTATTTACATACCTACCTACTTACAGAAATTAAAATTATTAGAAATCCATCTTAGCATATACACCTGCAAGTTAAGTAGGTACCTACTCAACAATAAAAAGATGAGTAATTTCACACATTTTTCTTTAGGCTTTTCAAGTAGGTATCCATGCAGTAATGTCATACAGAAGATAATGATGTCATAGCTCTAAATTAAACTTATTTGCTAATTGAGGGTTCCTCCCTTATAATATTTTTTTGACTACACTAAAATATTGGATCAGTAGGTAATACTTATCTTAGACAATGTTATAAGGAAAAAGATATGCTCAGACTAAATAAAATCGCAAGAACTGTACTAATTTACATATCCTTCTGTAAATCTTGTATGTTAATTAGATGCAGTCCTTACACAAAGAAAATTCAAATAGGTAAAGTTAGTCACTATCTTTCTTCATAAACACGCCTGAGAGAGCATGTCTGTACCTACAGTATCTATTTACTTCCTTATCATTTATCAATAAGCATGACAGGTCTTATCAGGCAGGGTTTGTCAACAATTTTATTGTGTTTATTAANTTTATTAGATGAATCTAAACTTTATTAGAAAAAATTAAAGTTCCTAATAATACTTATTTTAATATTTTTTTAAAGTAGGTCAGTTGCAGACGTTGCAGTAGCATTCATTTAAATAATGATGTCCCTCGATTTTTTTTATGTTATGTTATCAAACACGGAATTTGTAAACCACAAATAGAAAGCTGAAGCGACGCATCAATGCCTTATTTTGTAAGCGGAAATACCTATATTATTTACGAAATCATGACAAAAGTAAATTGTGAAAGGTCAAAATGACCTTGTTATAGATGTCGCAGTGGTGGGCGGATGAATCGCCTTATACGCAACGTTTCAGGTTCGGTTCATGGTCAGTCAGCTACTAAGACAATTTAGGAAAGTAATTTTATGGGATCCTGATTCCAAAACAATCTGTTGTCTGGGCTGGTCATAAAGATGTTCGAAACGCAACGAAAGCAACCGCTAAATTGGCGGATTTATGCTATTTGGCATTGTCTACCAATGCACAGTTGTTCATTTCGCAACATCAAGACCATGACGATCATTGTGCATAATTAATTACACTGTTCTTAAATGTTGCGGACATCTGAATGGTCCCAATCTATTATCATCTCCATTGATTCATGAAATCTAAAGTTAGTCATGTTTGAGTGAAGTAAAGAATATGTTTGTATTTTCTGTTACTTTCAAATAACCTTTGGGAGTGATTAAAATTGTGTAAAATGTCAAAAATCGTGTATATGTCGGACAAGGTGTTTTACTCGCTAAAAGAACAATGGTACAAGGTGAAATCATGTGAGTTGAATCAGATCATAACTTCCGGCAGGATTTGTGAATGATAGGCGTGGTAATTGGTATAACTCTACCTAACTAGAGCTCATAGTAATGGATAGTAGTTACTACCAGTTCTGGGAGGTAGGAAATCGGTTGGTACCACTTTAAATATCAGTCCAGTCTGTCCAGTACAAGGTCTCAGCTTAAGGATCAGATATAAGAGGGATAGAACGTGGGACCTCGTTTATCGCGAAACGTTAACCACCACGCCTACCTCGTATGGCTCATGCATGCGACTCATCATTCACCATTTTGAGAACCGCTTAACTTTGAAACCTCAAGGTCAAGACAGAAAGTTGATATAATACAAATAAAAGTATCTAATAAGTAAGTAGCAAAAATCTGTACGAAGCTAGGATTGTGTAATTTTATTGGCAACAATAAAATTACGACATTACGAGTACCTACTTATTCATGCGTGGACCGTAAAATATTGAGCATAAAGTTGAAAATTGGTTTTGGGCTTAACGAATAGGTACACGGCATGTTGCGCTGTCTAAAAAATCTATCGACGTACAAAAAATCTTTATGGGTATGAATATAAAGTTTGAAATTGAACCGAAAGTTCAGTGATGATTATGTGCAATGAATTGCACGGCGTACAAGGTCAGGCTGGTCTGGTTAGATTATCTTAATTAGTGCAGTCCTTACGATTAACCGTAGATGTACTACAAACATTATCTCTAGATATGAATGAATAGCTATAAACGAACCGTGAATCATAATAAATTAATTATTCTATCATAATAAGGTAAGGTAAGGTATAGTAAGTAGTTAGGTAAGTACTAATTCGTAACTTTTTCGGCAGGTATGATTTTAAAAATAATCAGAAGTAAATTGTTGAGATTGAAATCAACGGCTTACGGAAACAGAATACTTAATGCGTAGTATGAATTATATTAATTGGACATTTTAATTACATTGAAGTTCGTTTATAGAACGTTCTTCTAACATTTAAGGCGATAGGTGAGGCAAAACTGCAAAATAGACCTCTCTTTGAATCCCTACTCCTCCTAAATGGATGATCCAAACAAGAAAAAAAAATATGTGTGAGATGTATAATATCTTAAACTAAAAAATTGTTGTTCGTTTTNTTCCGATATTTCACCATACTCCATGTACGTTACGGAAACTAACTGACCATATTTTTAATTTTTGTAGGACCTGCAATCTATCTAAAGTTAGAGAAAATATTTGTTTTAACAATGAACAAGAGTTTACCCATCTAGCTGATAGAGTTTACTCTATTTGCATACAAAATTGCAAACAGGTAAATATTAATATCAGTTATGGACCCGTTCAACCCTTTACGATCTAATGAAGGACTGTACAAAGTAGTAAGTAGGTACATTTTAGAACTTTTTGTAATCGTAAGATGCGCGATGGACTGACACGAAGCTGTAAATGAATTAAATGAACAAAAAAGATTTTCTAATCATCTTACTATGACTTCGCAAGATACCTACGTTTAGATCTTAGATCGTACAACTAAATCAATTTACGAAGCAAACTTGTCTGAACCATTTATACGGGTTGCCTGACCTACTTACTTACTTATTCAACGTTACATGTCTCGATAATCAATCTCTATTTTCGAATTGCCTTTTAGATCGTTCTGACGTAAGGTTGTAATTTGGTGACGTCATGAAGGCACGGGTTGTGAGCCAGGGATGATATGGACGTAACCGAAACCGATTCAAAAGTTTCGGATAAAGCGGAATCTAAAACTTCATACTTGTCTGGCATCCCCTGGCACTATCTGATATCCCCGCGTGTTTTACCTTTATCATGGGTACCATCATAGTTCATAAAGTGGCTATGTGGCAAATTATTGTCCGAAACTTTCCGATAATCCGCAATGAATCCGTAACCGAAACCGGTATATTATCCTATCTAATATCCGTAACCGTATCCATAACCGAAACTATCCATAACATCTCTGGTGTGAATTGTCTTGCCATTTCACTGAGGGGTGGTAGTGATGTAACACGACTAGGGGTAACTATTACCTAATCTGTGGGCACGTAACAGTGTAAACTGTTTAGTAAGTGTATGGCATCTCGTAAACCTTTTATAAAGGGGTGACATTGTTGCTCTAAGTGGAAATCGTCTTAGTAAAGTGCTAGGACTAGGTACTTACATTTTCTTAATTATTTGACATTAATATTATTGAATCCTGTAATTTTTGCACGTCTGCGAGCAGACTAAACACATGATCCTATTTAATATTGTCACCCTGTATTACTGTGTTTTTGGCAAATAAACGTTTTGAATTTGAATTTGAATTTACAGTAGGCCTAAGATGCACGCCGCGATAAGCGGTTATCACGCCATTTTATCGATTTTTCCCATACATTTTGGCGTCGATAAAGTTATCACGTCGCGCATCTTAGGCCTGCTGGGCTTATTACCTTATCATTTCGTCGTACAACAAGTTACAGTACTGTTAAAGATCAGAAGATTGAATAAAGTTAGTAAGTTAGTCTGAGGGAAAGTAATTTTGTTAATGAACTTGTAACTAAATTAATCAAAAGAAATTAGGAGGATAGTTTAATCTTCTTAGCCCTAGCCTGAAACGCTAGAAATAATTGTCCTATTTTCCTTGTTATTGTAGGAGAAGTACAATGATTCAATTACGCCCGTATTAACAAACATTACTAAGAGGTCTCACAGTGCGCGTGGACGAACAGGGTGACACATGAACCAATCACAGAGCTCTATATTCAACGCTGTGCGTTCGATTTGCTGCTTCACATAAGCAAGCATCTAAATACATTTAGATACATTACTTAGTTTAGTCACAGAATAACACGGACGCT